CAAAATAATGCTTTTTTAAAAGCATTACATGTATTTACGTATCACTTTTGGATGTTTTTGTGTTGCAACAGAGCTGAGTAATTATAGCAGAAACTATGGGGCTGCAGCACCTAACATGCTTACTATTTACTCCTTTACATCACAGAGTGTAAAACTTGTGAAGAGACATAGATTGTACAAGAAATGTTAGACTACGCAGCCTAGTATCTCTTCTGTGCCAAGCAATCTGTACCAGCTCTTTTTAATAGAGAGTCAGGCTTTTTACACTGAGCTTTTGCCTGTTATACCCACTGTTGCATTCAAGAAAGTAGCTGTAGTTTGGGGTTTTTGTTTGTTTGCTTGTTTGTTTATTTGTTTGCAGTACCAGGTATTGAACTCAGGACCCTGAGCTTGCCAGGCAAGCGCTTATTCTACTGAGCTATCCCCCCTGCCCTTGTTTCTTTGTTTTGTCTTTTTGAGACAAGGTCTTGATATGCATTTCAGGCTGCTTTGAGCTCATTTTGTAGCCCAAGCTGGTCTCAAATTTGTAATGATCCTCCTGCCTCAGCCTCCTGAATGAGTGCTGGGATTACAGGCATAGGCTACCACACTCAGATATTTTATGGAGAAGAAGTAGTATGAATGTTTATGTCCCCAGAAAATTCATGCTACAATGTAGCCTTCAATGCAGCAGGAAGATAGGAGCTGATTATGCCATGGGGTTCCACCATAACTTGTGGGTGTATTAACTTTTCTAAAGGACAGGAGAGAACTACCGAAATCTCTTTCTCTTCTATCCCTTCTGTCACACAAGGATGCAGCCTTTAACGTTCCATCATGACCCTTCATTGGGCTCCAATTCAGCTAGTGCCTTTGTCTTGGTTACTTTTCTCTCATTGCTGGGACAAAATATCCAACACCTAGAATCAAGGAAGGAAAGGTTTATTTAGCTCACAGTTTGTGGAGATTTCAGTCCCTACTCAGCTGGCTCCAAGGCAGAGTAGCACATGGCAGAGGGCAGCTGTTCATTGTGGCAGAAAACAGCAAAAAGCAAAGGGAGGAACAGCCACTAGCAGGCCTCTCTCCCTCCTTTCATTGGCATGCAGATTATCTGCGCCAGGCCAGGTATAGCGCTCACACCACAATCCCAGCATTGGATCCTGAATTAATCACAAACTCTAGAAGCCATCCTAGTGACTGCATGAAGCTTTGGGGAAACAACTAGACACAAACTACAGCAGCCTTTGATCTTTGACTTCCCAGCATCTATCACTGTTTGAAATACATTTACACTGTTTGAGAATTGCTCAGTCTTATTGTTGCAGGCAGCCGAGATAGATAGAAATATTATAGGCAGTCAGACAGGACCAGGCCCTTGAAGGAGATAACACAGAAGACAAGATGCTTTACAATTATGGGAGGAACTGATGCCCCTGCTGTGAACTGGACCTAAAGACCAAAGATCAAACAAATGTTGGCCTTGCTAAAGATTAGCATCGGATTGATCCTCACCCTGAGAAAGCCAGGAAGAATCCTTATCTGATGGCTACCAGATAAGGTCCTGTTTTATATTCATGCCCTCTTGCTCGTGACTCCCTTCCCCATTTGGTCCCACACTTAATCAATTTTACCTGAGCAGTGGTGCTTGTAATCCCATTGGCTGACCATAGTTTTGTCCCACCCCACATCCACTAAGCGAGTTCCCCCTTTCTCCACCTTAGCTCCGCATGGTTTTACACTATAAAAGTCCCTGGAAGAGACAGCTTCCTGGGGAACAACCCGCTCTGGCCCCCCCTCCTGTCCCTCTCTCGGACAGGAGCTTTCTTTCCCTCAATAAATATATTCTGCTCATAACCTCCATTTGTTCCTAAAATTCATTCTTCGGTTTTAGAGAACACAAACTTATGCAGGTCAGGTTGGGAGATCATTTTTCCCCTGTATCATTGGGATGTTCCTTGTATCATTATTATTCAGAATACTTTGTTATAGCAGCACAGAAGGACTAAGAACTTTGTACCAAGAAGTGAGGTGTTACTGTAGCAGATACCTAGAAACGAGGGTGCAGCTTTGGAACTGAATAGTAGGTAGATGCTAGACTGTAAAACATTATTCCAATAAGGGTTTAAAAGAAATGTGTTATGCCTTGCATTTTTGATGCCCCTGACAAAGCCTCACGTGGTCGTAGGTGGGGCTTTTTCAGAAGTGACTGTCTTTAGAGTGTGACTGATTCATGGTGCAATACTGGGATTATGAGTGTGAGTACTACACCCGCCTTAGGGTGGGTAGCCTGCATACAACATAAAGGACAGAAAGAGGCTCACTGTAGTTACTTGTAGTTGGTTGCTTGACACTTGCTTTTGATGTCTTCTTCCTGCCATGAGCTGTTTATGAACTGCTTCTGCTCTGTGATGCCTGCCTGCCATCCAACCCCCTGCCTGGGAGCCATCTGAGTACACACTGAGACCTCCTCAATCTGTGAGCCAAGTACACTTGCCTTCAAGTGTACTTTGGGTACCAGGTTCTTATTTCAGCAACAAGAAAACCAAGACAAAAAGGAAAGCTATACATTATCTAATTGGCCATTAGCAGAATATTGGTAGAAATGCAGATAGCAAAGACTATCCTCAAGCAGTCTTAAGGGGAAATGAGAAAAGGATTATTTGAAATCTTACCCTTCTTATTTATTGAAGTGGCAAAGAATTTGGATAAATTGCATCCATGCCCCAGTACATTATGGAAGGCAGATCATACTAACAATGAACGAAGATGTTTAGCAGAAGAAATTTCTGGGCTGGCCAAATAGCTCAGTGAACTAAGTGCCTGCTTAGGCAGAGCCCAGTGGCAAAGGTTCGATTCCCAGCTTGCTATGCCAGCCCAGCCCCTGGGGTCCGCTCAGATGGTGATTGAGACTGGGCGTACTGGCGCATGCCTGTAATCCCACCACTTGGGAAGCTGAAAATAGGAGAATCACTACAAGTCTGATCTATATAGTGAGACCCTGTAGACCCTGTACTAAATATATTTTTTTTAAAAATTCTAAGCAGAGTACTAACAGTGCTGCACAGCTTCCTTTCCCTGCCTGTAGTAAAATGTGATGAGAGAAATGAATTAAAGATGGAAATTATAATCAAAAGAGAAGCAGACCTTAAATATTTGGAAAATTCTCAGTCTGACTATGTAAAGAACAAAAATGTGCATGGAGGGTGTGGATCAACAAATGCTGAGTAAGATTTGTACTGTTAAAGGAAGCTAGTGCTATTCATTAAGAGAAAAATGGCTCTGAAGGCACTTTAGAGATCTTTGAGGCTGCTCCTCCAACACCGCCCCACAGCGCCAGAGCCTTGAGCACAGAAAGGTTTCCAGACACGGGCCAGGCACCAGAAGATCTGGGAATTTGCTGCTCAGCGCTGGATCAAATTTCTGCTCCAGGCATTTGGGACAGTACTCCTTGGCCACTCCACTGTGGCTTAAAGACCCAGGTAGAGCTCAGGAAGGCACAAATGGTAAAGCTTGGCGATGTCTGAAGATGCCAGCTGTGCAGGTACAGAGTGCAAGAGGTTGGAGAACACTGGGACCCAGGCAGAGAACTGCCACAGAGGCAGTACTGCCCAGAGATTCCCTCCAAGGCAACGCCTACTGCAACTGTGGGTGTGGGGCCACCCTGAGACCCCGGGGTCTACGGAGCCACCACCAACTCCAGCCCGAGAGAACTACGAGTATGAAACTCCACCATGGGAGAGCTGTGGCCTTATTGCCCCAAGCGAAGCTGTGGGGAGGGGGCTGCCCAGAGCCTTGGGGGCCTGGTTCTCACCCCACCATGCCTAGAGGACAGGACATGTAGCACATGGTAATTCTCCAGTCAAGATTTAGTTTTATTCTCCTTGTTGGTGTTTAAACTAACTTGGGACTAGTTGCCTCCTGTGCTTTCCTACTGCTCCTTTTTGGAATGGGCATATCTGTCTGGTGCCTGTCCCACCACTGTGCTTTGGGAGCAAATGACTTCTTTACTTTCATAGTCACAAGGATGTAGGGGGAGTTTGCCTCAGAGATAAATCACAGCCTTGAGTCTCACCCGTATCTGATATAGATGATATGCAGATGAAATTTTGGAATTTAGATTTTTTACTCAAAAGTCTGAAATGAGTTAGGGGGATAGTGGGATAGAAGGAAGATATGTATTCTGTGTGTGTGAAGGATCTGAATTTGGGGAGTAGGGGTAGAATGTTACGCATGAGTAATCTAGTAATCTAGAAGAATAATCTCGAAGAGTATTTTTCCTCTCTTTTTTGTTTGTGAATCTGTTTCTTGGGAGATGTCTTGCTATGTTGTCCAGGCTGGCCTTGAACTTATTATGTAGCTTAGGATGGCCTCCAACTCATGGTGATCCTCCTGCTTCAGCCTCCCAGGTACTGGGATTACAGGTATGGGCCACCACTCTAGGCCAACTGCAGTGGTTTTAAGAGGTATGGCCTGTAGGTGATTGGGTGGTGTGGGCATCTACTTCATGAATGGGATTCAGGTCCTAGAGAAAGGGGCTTTGTGCTGGAGGCAGCTATTGTATGTCTGTGTTTTCAGCTACTTGGAAGATCAAGACAGGAGGATTGCAAATATAAGGTCATCCTGGGCATCGTAAGGAGACTTTATCTGAAAACATACAAAGAGCTTGAGATATAACCCAGTGTTCCCTAGGTCCAATGCCTAGTACCAGAAAAGAAAAAGGACTTACATCATGTTTAGCCCTTTGACCCACCCTCCTTCTACCATGTGCAGACACAGCAATAAGGTACCACCTAGAAAGCAAAGCCAGTCATCACCACTCTTGGAAACTGCTTTCTTTGTAATTTTGGACTTTCCAGCCAGCAGATCTGTGAGAAATACATTTATGCTTTTTATAAATTACCTGATCTCAGGGTTTATGTTCCAACAACTCAAAGGATTAATAGCATCACACAGTTTGATCACACACTTGGTCAATATATTTTAACACTGGAGCTTGCTAGGGTCAGGGACATACAACTCACTCCTTCATGTGTTTTATCTTGTTCCTGGCCATCATATTGTTGAAAATGGTTGGTCCTGGGGACACATCTGCAGCCACACTGGTCATGGTCCTTGTATCTGAAAATTAATGTATAAGCTTTATTGACTTCAACTGTCCTCAAGGTGATAATCAAGGCAACCAGAAAACAAATGCTAATCCATCTTTTCCGTAGGTGTTGCTACATTAATTTAATTAGTTACATGAATTCTGTCATAACATTGCATATTAAGGAGGTTTATTCCAAATGATTAGATTATTTACACTTCGAATATGAACAAAAATTTCTAGAACCAAGCCTCTCTCAAAAAGGATTGTTTAAATAGAAAATCACTGTTCATGAGATGAGTGTTTAGTACTAGAAAACTCAAGAAAATGACTCTCTAGACAAGGGAATATTCCTGGGGAGTTTTTGCTCACTCTTGAGCAGCTGTAGATGTTTGCTTAAGTTACTGGGGCTTGGTTTTCTTTTTGTCTTAATTTCTTTCTTGACCATTAGCTTTTGGCAATATGAAGCAGGCTGCTGGTTGGGGTCATGTGCACCCTTCAACTCCAGGGGAATGGAGTAGAGGGCCAGAGCTGGGCTCAAGAGGCAGAGTTGCTAATGCAAGCTGAGGTGTTATGGAATCAGTTGAAACAGTGACCATTTTTCTCCTGGAGACTCTTAAGCATGCTGCCAATGAAAGGAAACAGTCCATGAATTGCAACACAGGTCTTCCCACTGAGGAGTGAAGCCTGGATTGTTAGTGGGGGTGAAGGGTCATGCCATCCATAAGGCAGGGCTGGCAATTAGCCCTTGTGCTGCCTGTGCCTCCCCTCCAAGTGTCTCATGCCTTGTCAGTATAAACTCTGTACATATAGTATTCATTTCCAAATCTACCTATGGAGTTTGATGGCAGGGAAGAACCTATGATACAAAGTTCCTCCTTCTCGTTTCAGTGGATGTTGTAGAGCACATGATTGTCTTACAGCAAACAGGGAAATGAGGCCCAGTCTCCAGGTTCAATATCAGGAAAGCTTTTCCTCTCTAATACTTTCCATATACACCCTCCTTTTGCACAACCTCTTTGGGAAGCTCACTTTGAATTTCTTGCTTTTACAGATAGCGCTGAGATAGATGTTACCCTTCTTCATAAATCTGTAAAATTCTCTGGTCTCTCCTCAGGCCACATCCCTAAATCCAAAATCACTGGACCAATACGTATGAAGAACCTGGACTAGGCCACATTGCAATTAATTAAATCAATAACCTATCCTTCCTGGTTACATAGCCAGCTCTGCCTCCGATGTTAAAGGCACTGGTGCCCATCACTGACTGTCTCTTTTTCTCCACTCCTAGAGGTTATCCCTCCACTTCAGAGGATATGATTTGCCTCAGCCTTCACAAAAGCTTCAAGTCTTCTCTGGCCTTCCCACCTGCTCTGACCAGATAGCTACTTTTTCCCAGGAGAGTCTTGGGGTAGGGAGGAATAAGGGTTAGGGGTCCGTTTCATGTTTCCATTTATATAATTAACTTGCCTAAAACATGAAAAGTTACTAAAACAAGAAGCACACCATGTCAAGAAATCCACCTGCAAGCTCAGAAACCAGTTTTATCAAGAACAAAAGTAAGTGTTGCTTTTCCATCTCTTCAAGAGAGAAAGAGCTGGCAGGTCCTAAAGGCTTAGGCAAATAAAGGTCGAAGCAATTTCCAGGAGATCTGCAGGTTATTTTAAGCTTGCCACTGTTCCCATCATAAGGCTCGCGGTATTGCTAAGAAAAATGATAAGCCTGGAGACCAAGGGTAGAGCACAGGGCAAATATAATTTTGAGTCACAGACCAGTGAAGCTTAGTGTTTACAGCAACTCCTTTTTCAGTGTCTCTCACTGTGCAGCTTTTTGTCCCCTCTATGCCACCTGTCATGAACAGAGGTTATTTTGTGTCACAGAGAAGGAAACCACACCTAGTAATTGTGACAAAAACAATTGGGTATAGAATCATAGATGTCATCTAATTGGTCACTGAATCCCATACTGTGTTCTAGACCACGGCTTCTCAAACTTTAATGCAGGAGAGATCAGGCTGGGATATTGTTTGAAGGCGTATCCTGATTTAGAAGATATATACAGGGCTGAGGACCCTGTACTTCTACACCCGCAGGTGATACCTGTGCTACAGTCACCAAGACCACAGATAGGAAGGCTTTCAGGCCTCTACATGATTTGAGGGTCCAGTGCTAACTGACAGTGCAGCATCCTTTGTTCACAAAGTGAAAGAAAGCTGTTTTCTGTCTTCTGAATCTCTCTCTGGACCTAGTACGATGGTTTCCCCCAAGTATATGTTGGGGAGGAGGGTTAGGGGTCCATTTCATGTTCCCATTTATATAATTAACTTGCCTAAAACATGAAAAGTTACTAAAACAAGAAGCACACCATGTCAAGAAATCCACCTGCAAGCTCAGAAACCAGTTTTATCAAGAACAAAAGTAACTATGGGATTCATTGACCAATTAAATGACATCTATGATTCTATATGCAATTGTTTTTAATCATAATTATTAGGTGTGGTTTCCTTCTCTGTGACACAAAATAACCTCTGTTCATGACAGGTGGCATAGAGGGGACAAAAATGAGAAATGAGTAAAGGTACTCACAAGGGCAATGAGGGCATTCACAGGGACCTGGGCATTGTCCTCACCCATACTTAAACATCTTAAACCCCTCTGAAGATGGAGGTGGCAGTGGCCACAGGCCGGGTACATTTTGAAAAAGTGGTGGTGATGAAAAAAATGTCACATGGAACAGTTTAAGTGTCAAGTGTTTCCTCTTCCCTATGTCCACCACTTCTTTCACCAGAACAAAAGGAAATATATTTTTGCAAGAGATAAAACTGCAAGATGATATTAAAACTTGATAGTTCCTACAAACCAACTCTACTCTTCCCACTTGCATCATTCTCCCAGGTTTCAATGTCCTCAAATACTACTTCTGTCCTCTCTAGTCTGCTCCCTGCTCTCTTCCCTTTTCTTGGTCCCATGCTTCAGTGGTTCAAGCACCCCACAGCCCCTGCCTTTCCACCCTATGTTCTGGAATCTTGAAGGCCTGGAAAATGAGCTGTAGCTCAGTACTGTCTTTCTCAAACTTGATTTCCACACAAGCTCATTCTGATTCATCATTAACAACAACAACGACAACCACCATGTCAATAATAATGGCTAATCCAGGCCTTGCGCTTCATCAGGCCCTGTGCTAAGTAAATATCTTGCCTGCATCATTCCATGTAAGGGTCCTGTGAAGCAGGCACATCTTAAATGAGAAAAGTATGTCACTGAGACAGGAACTTGCCCAAAGTCACAGGGCTGATCAGTTGCATACGTGCAACTTGAAATTGGGTTTTGTTTTGTTACACAGTTCTAGATGTTTCCACCTGTTCTACATTTGTCAGCTTAGAGTACTCAGTGGCTGCCCACTCTGTGCTGCCCTCCAAGCTGGGGGCTGAGGGGCCAGTGCCATGGTTTGCTTTCTAAGGCACTTGCCTATCAGTGTCAATCTCTCCCTCCACTCCCTTACATTTTTTAACTAGATGGTAAGCTCTCTGAGTACAGGGGCTATGTCCTATTCAACTTTTAAATATCTCTAAATAAATTTTTAA